AGTAGGCATTGTAATATCAATAGTAATTGCAATATCAATTGGATTTTGTTCAGTTTTCACTTTTCTCTACACATTTAAAGTACAAACACATGTTAGGCACAAACAAAAATCCCATAATAAATTTCATAGCAATAATCACACATTACCTTTTTTTAGTGCATTGGAGTCATGTGTCAAGCTCTCACATGTTAATGCATTGTGATCAAACTTATCACATTAGGTGCACTTATAGGCAACCCTAGGTCTTCTCAAATGTAATTCTACCCTTACCCTATAACTCTCATTTTTCACAAATGTAATTTCCATTCCATTTAGCATTGACCACTCACGAATAACCTTCCTAAAATCAACAAGTGAATTAAATTTCATATCCCACTTAATTTTATAGTCCTTGTTGAGGTGCTCTTTCCTAAATCTCTCATATTTGAGCCTTTCATCATCACGAGAATCATTTGGGTCGGAGTTGTTCAATTCATCACTATAATAATCATCTTCATCCATTTTCTTATTGGGTCGCACAAAATTCCACTAAAATTCCCATATTCATTTATAGGTAATGTTACATCAATTCCTTCATAGCCATCTACAAGAGCAGTAGCTTTATCATCTTCACTATTATATAAACCTTCAACCACCTCCTCTTCTAACCCATCCATTTCATTCACCTCATTAACACACTTAGGTTCCCTATCCACAAGACCCATGTTTTCAAGAACATGTTCCACAAATATATCTTCATCAATAGACATTGCACAAAAATATGATGCAAAATCGTATGCACCATCATCTTTTCTTATCAAAACAAAACCATCTTGAATTTCTAATAATTTTGTCCATAACCTATAACTTCCATCCTTATACCCCCACCTAGTCACCAACTTACCAATGATATTCATTGTCCAATTCACAACGTGTAGTCCAATTACAGTCGAATCAACCCTCCCCCTCTATAAATGATTTCGTTTGGTTTGACCTTTATAAATTCACCCTCATGGTGAAAAGTAACATTAAAATGTTACATATCCTATGATGAAAGCATACCTAATTTTAGATAACATAAATACTCAGATTTAAGTTAAAGCATACCCAGTTACCTTGACATTTCCAATTACCCTAATAATACCATTTAACAGTGATGGATGAAGAAGTTTAAAAATCACTTAACTCAGACATTACAAACTTCAATGTCTTTGATTACATATTTGTCCACAAGAATCATCTTCGTCTTCCTGCATTGCCTGAGTGCCTGGACCTTTGTCTTCGTCTTTGCAGTCGTCTTCTTGTTCTTCGCATCAATTATTTTTCTGGAAACAAACCATAACTACTACAATGGGATAATTGAAATGTTATATACCTAGTAAGCAACCATTTAAGAAAAACAAAATGCCATGTGTTTATTATTAATCAACGTGGAGAGAATTTGAAAAAATAAGTGAATCTTCAAAGACACTTGACAATTGGGGGGGTCTGTGACGGAATCTAAATAAGATAAGGGGGGATTAATAAAAACTTTTACAGGGGCTAAAACCAAATCTCACTAATATTATAGGGGTTGTATATTTAGTCCTAATTTTTTTTAAAGATTCTTCTATAGTAAAAATTAAGAAATTAATTATTAAATTTATATTTAAAGTAGATCATATTTGTTGTATCTAGTTTGTGATTTCTTTTTCTGAAATTTGGTTTAGTTTAAGAATATGATAATAAATTTCAAGATTTGATCCAATTATGATTTGATACTAGTAGAAGAGGCGTGTGTCCACACAGATAAATTCATTCATATCTTAAGATGATTTGATAAGACTTCATTGTTATTTTGATATTTGATTCTATAAAATCACTAATAACTACAAACATTTAAAATGAAATATGCAGTAAATCACTAATATGATAAATTCAATATGACTAATAACTATAAATATTTACAAATACTATTAATAATTATAAATAGTTACAAATATTTCGTTGATTAAAATAAATAAAAAAAGTATTATGATGATAGTGACTCGTAAAAATAGTGAGTTTCACTGATAAAATTTAGTAAAATTTATAAATATCACTTTCATTGTCTCTTTAGAATACAATAATAAATTGATAACTTTTGTATAAAATTCATCAAATAATAATGTTTATAAAAGAAGAACAAATCACGATCTTAACGTGAGATCTATTTCATCAATCTTAGATCTATAAAACTTAGATATTAATCAAATGAACACATAAACTTTAATAAAAAATAAAAAATATAAAAAAATTGATGCTTTAAAAGAAAAATCACACAATGAAGAAGAAATATAATGTTTGTTTCTAGCTACCTACTACTAACTTAACACTTCTTGCTACTCTCTAGTTTCTAGTTACTACATAAACTATTGTAATACCCGTGCGGTACTCATTCTGGCTCTCTCATTTTTTTTCCAATGTTAATATTAATAAAAAAATATATCTATATTAACATAATATCTATATCTATATTATATTATATAATAAAAAATATCTATAAATAAAATCTATATCTATATTATATAATAAAAAATATATTATATAATAATTAAATGAAAATCATTTTGATTTTATCATATTAACATAATTGAATAATATTTATATTAATAATATATCTATAAATAAAATAAATATATAAAATTAAACAAAATGACTGGTATTTATTTTTTGATATCATTGATAAAAAATAGTTTTATAAAACAAACACTAATAATATTAAATTATTATAACATAAAGTCACTATAGGTGTTTCGATTTAATGAGAAATAGCAATTATTGGAGTTGAATAACATGGTCCTATATGAAACTTGAAGATTATGCACATATTTTAAATATGAAGGCATTCTCTTTTATTGACTCAAACAAAGTATAATAGTGATTTATTGCATAAGATACTAATGCAAGATGCTAACTCAACATCTACTCCCATGAAAGCCATTGTGATATAGAAGTCTAGCCTTGACTACTATTGAGATGCTTTGGCTACAGACTCTTTTTCATGAGCTCAAAAGTTTCAGTTGTTCCTCGTATTATTTTCTGTGACAATGAAAGTACAATGGTTATGACTTACAATCTTATTATTCATGACATGACTAAACACATGAAAATATATTTTTTGTTTGTTCGAGAAAATGTTCTAGCCAAGCAATTGCAAATTCTGCATATTCTTAGTGCAAACCAAAAGGAAAATATTAGATGTATTGTTTGATCTTCATGACATATTTCTAGTGATGACTAAAAGGAAAATATTATGATAGTATGAAATTATTAGAGAATTTTATAATATAGTATGCAAAGCATTATCATTTTTACAATAAATTTCTATCATATAGTTGTCACTAAACCAATTCTTCTGCACATTCTAATAAATACACACTAATTTCTCAAACACACTTCAACTTGTTCAAACCAATATGCCAACACAGCTTTTCCACTGCCACAAATTGGAGCCATGACACAGTCTTGCCGGAAAAAATGTTCTTGTTACCGACGCTTCTTCTGGCATTGGTCGTGACTTATGCGTTGATCTTGCTCCAATTAGTTGTCGTCTTATCTTGACAGCTCGTCGGATAGACCGACTTCACTCCGTCTATGATGAAATCAATGAACAGTTATTGTCATATAAAAATCGTCACTAAATTGCAGGAGAGATCAAAAGTTAAAATTTAATTTTTTTAGGAGGACCATTCTTTGAAGGAAAATTTTAGAGGGACTAAAAATGAAACTTGAGATATTTAGAGGGATCACAAACTTATTTAACCCTATTAACTAATAACATAATATTTGTAAATTTTATTTTTTAAATAAAATTTGCTTGACTCTATAAAAGATTGGACATTTCTCATAGAATCAAGTACAACACAATAGCAACTTGTTACTTTTTCTAACCATGGTTAGAAGACATGAGAAATATACATTTCTAAGAAAGTCTAAATAATTCTTTCCAAAAAAGTACAAACATTTTAACAACAAAAGCTTATGATTATAAAAGTAGATGAAGTTAAACAGACTAATACAAACAGAAACTAAGTAGTAGAGTGAACTTTCAAATTACCACAAAAGTTACATTTAATAATATTAGATTTTCACCATCTTTTGGAGGCAGAGGAGCTAAAGTTCCTGAACAATTCACCTTTTTCACAAACAAACTTGGACAATAAAATAACATCTGACATATCAGTGTGTACTTGTAGATATAAGACACTACAAAACCTTATTTAAAGTTTAATTGAATGTGTACTTATTATCAAATTAGTAGTAGTAGAACTTTGCAAGTGTTCTAGCCATATTCAATTCAATTTCAACACTGAATATATTTAAATCAATACTTTATTATTTAAATCAATATTTAATATTTTAAACATGATGATTCATATTATATAAACAAAAGAAACTTCTAGAATAAGATACTAATATCAATATCTATAAGATACTGTTATTCAATATTCAATAATATCAATAATCAATATTAACAATAATATTATTCATACTGCTATTCAATATTTCTGAAGTTGCGAATGATCTTCTCTGAAGCTGCTGTTATCTCCCATTCCCGTAGGAATCATAAACAAACTTCAAAACAATATTACAACAGAGTCAGATTTTCCTAGTAAGATAATATAACTTATCAACTTACAGTTCATAAGGAATTTTCAAGGTAGACGGACCAGGGACAGCCTCAACTACTTGGTTTAGTGCTTTGAATTGCAACAACTCATTATAACATAGTCCATCACTATGATCAATTACTACATGGTTTATTCTTTGTCTTTTATTGTCAAATTGATAAAATCGACACTTATCTCAGTCTGGACTAAAAGATACCGAAGAAGAGCAGTTTGTCATTACGGTATTTGATTCCCCCTTTCCCCATATTGCAGAAAACACTCGATAGAGAAATACTTTGTTCTGGAACATTATATTCTCAGGCTTGTGACTGCTGCATAAACTCCATATTTGAAAATTTTACAGCTGCTTTCGCAGCCATGGTTGCACGATCAGCAGATTCCGCAGCAGCCTGTGCAGCAGAGGCAGCATCCTTGAATTCCATGTTCCAATTGTCTCCCAGTAGGAAAGAAACTCTTATTTTCAGAATATGTATCTCTAAAATCCATTTTTTGACTTCCATCCCCTGCAAAAAAGAATCCCAAATATTCACTTAATCGGCAGAACAAAAGCCTAGAAATTCAATTATAAATGACTTTCTTTCAAAAATAAAACATACCTGAAGATTTGATTTCTATGTCCAGCATGCCTGATGTTATGGAGTTATTGCCACTAGCCTTTCTAGCAGCAGTGTTTGCACTCTGGTCATATGAATTTGTATATGCATCGTGCGTTGGTGTAAGTTGTGAAGGACCACCAGAATTCGGAGGACCCTTTTCATCATGAACAGGTGGTGGAACATGGCCTTGAAAAGGTTCAACATAAGCAGACTTCTCAGGAGTACTTGGCCCAACCTTAACATAAAAATAGTGCATAAAAATAAACTACAATAACAATTTTTTTAATCAAAATAAACTACAGACAATCCAGAATACACAAAACCTACCAGTAAGTCTTGAGAGGCCTTTGTATCATTGTCTCCAAATGACTTGGACTCCCATTTGATATTATGCTCCTCAGCTATTGCAGTCAGTATTTTTATCTTGGTTGGACCATCAGGGGCTTTAGCAGACAATTTCTCAACCAACTGAAAAGAGGATAATAAATTATAAAAAACAGGCACGAAACGATCTTCGACATGATCCTATTCAACATCAAGTAGGTAAAGAAACTTGCCAAGTGATTTACACCACAGTCAAGGCACAACTCAACAGCTGTAGAGACAAATTATTTTCCATACTTTGAAGCCATATGCTTCTTCACATCCGCGAGCTCAGGTATGTATGAACATCTAGGAGTTGCAAATATCACACTCGAAATTGCTTCCTTCAAATCGATAGGGAAATTCCTGAAAATATTTAGGGGGAAAAAGAACAAAAATGAGATCAAAGCAGTAAAAATACACAATCATGATGAACAGACTAATAACCTGCAACATCAATCATTACAACAACTTTGCACAATATGATTTTATTCATAAGAGATTGTTGTATAAGGATTTGTGATGAAAATCGAACCATGTAACAAAATCACAATTTTGACTAACTTGTAAGATACTAATACACTAATATCTTTCTATTACAATTTAATTTTCATTTTCCACAAGATTCGTGATTTAACTTTTAAACGAATAATAAAAAACAAATTTCAAAGAGGAAGTCAGAAGATGACTATTGATGATGAATAAACATGATTTCTACCTTTGCGCAGCCTGGTTTTCTCCTTTGACCTACTTTCGCCACCCATAATGTATCCTGGAACAATTGTTAGAAACTGGTGCAATAACCAATTAAATATGTGAAATTGATAACTATTTTCGCACGCTATAAAACAGTGAAATTGATAGGTTAGATAGACAACACTTCCATGAATTCAGTTTGACATGTGGTTTTGATGATGAAATCATCTTCAATAATGTGCTTTCATTTTTTCACTTAAAAATTTAAGCTTTCAAAATATCGAATAATCACTTCTATTACAGCCTCCATGACTAATGACAGTTTGATCGTAGTCTAATTTTTCCATATAAAGTTTCACTTTAACACATACAAAGCATGTTCAACATTATCCATACTTCAAGATCATATAGCCTTGCCGTGGGACATTAGAAAAGCAAAATTATTCAACATCATCTGCGACTTCACTGCTGAATTTTGTTCTCAAACTCTCAAAATATTCCTATATTGTTTAGTCATGTCAATATGTTATCACTAAAATAAGAAAGTATTTATACCAATTTTAGTAAAGATGAAGATCTATGCGACTACAAGCTCACCAAATACAAGAGCCCATTGGCTTGGAAGCTGGAACTCCGAAAATTGATGCAGTTCAAACAAAATGTCTAAACTCAGAAGCTAATATATCAAAATTAAACCCAATTTAAAGAAGTTTGATCCAGCAACTTCAACCCAAAATTAATCATATAAATTAAAGCTAATTTCTTATAATAATAGTTATTGGAAAAAGTAATCATACCAAAACTTTTGTAACCATCAAGGTTGATATCTTTCTCATATCAGCCACTGCATTAAAAATCAATTTCGTCGATAAATTAGCAATTTAGTCCTACGTTAATTGGCTTAAATCGCTAAAAAAAAATTTAAGCATTAGTTTCAAAAACTATCAAATCGCTAAAATCTCAACCAATTTAGTCCTACGTTAATTGGATTCAATTTAGTCCCTATTTTGAAAACTTCTTACGAAGCTCTATCTCATGTTTTGGCCTGAATTCAATTGACTTCGACAAAATAATCAACTTCACAATAAAATCTACAAAAGAATAATGTGAACAAAGAAGATATGGAGGGAAGAGACCTTAGAGTCACAATAATTAATGACGAATTTGTCGGTTCCTTCCTGGAGAATAACACGAGCGACGACAGTTTTCTGGCAACCGATGCTGAAGATAGTTTAAGTGGCGAATCCACCAGGAAGTCTTGATTTAACATACATCTTGAAGTCAGCGGTTTTCGATTCGACGGGAGGAGCGAGTGATGTTGTGGATACGATTAGGGAAGGGAGTTTGGAAGAGCGATTGAGGGAGAAGGTTCCGGGGAGAGAAAGAGTGGTTGGTTTGCGACAGATATTGGAAGAAAAGGAAAGTGAATAGAGGGAAGATGTGAGAGAAGATAAGGAAACTGTCATGATTTTCACTTATGCAATTATGAATGGATAATGAATAAAGTCTTTGTAGAGTAGTGAGAGAGGTGGTAGCTGCATATTGTAACCGTGCATGTTAAGTTAAATTAAAGTAATGGAAAAGGTATTGGAAATGGATCAAAGATTTGGAAAAACGAAGAATTTGAGAAAACAAAATTTTACTTAACTCTCATGAAGTTAGGTGTCACGACTTTGGAACAAAAGGACAAAATAGAATTTTTGAATAGAACAAATTTTCTTATATTATAGATTAGCACTTCTTCTACTCTCTAGTTACTACATAAATTAACACTTTTTCCTACTCTCTAGTTTCTAACTACCTACTATTAATTTATAGCTACCTACTAATTTACAGCTACCTAATAATACAATGGTATTAATATAATAAATGTTTGTTTTATAAGAAAAGAGCGGTGGAGTTTTAGACATTAAATTGGGTTAAATATATTTTTGATCTTTTTAAATATAGTGGTTTTCAACTTTAATCTTTTTAAACATTTCTTTTAAAAAATGATCTTTCTAAAAATTTTAAATTTAACTTTTGTCCCTCATGACAAAACCGTAGCTAAAATAGTCTCTAATTTCGTCGTTAAATAAAAAATCATTGTTAAAACCGTTGTTAAATTATAAAAACCGTCGCTAAATTGTAAAACACCGTCGCTAAATTACAAGAGAAATCAAAAATTAAAATTAAAATTTTTAGGAGGATTATTTTTTAAAGAAAATATTTAGAAAGACAAAGTTAAAAACCACTATATTTAGAAGGACCAAAAACTTATTTAACGCATAATAATTTAATTAGTGTATTGTGCTCTTATGATATAAAAAAATGCATTAAACGCAAAAGTTACTCACTCTTCGCTCTTTGTATCATGATACATTATCTTTTGGGAGGGAAGGGATGCAAAAACATACTGCTGAAGCTTAACTGGATATAAGTTATTATTTTCATGAAAAAAAACCACAAAATTGAATAAAAGACATGGTGAAAGTCAACATTTTTTAGGGGGAATATTAAGTTGCAGCCATGTAAATAAAAGGCTCAGCTTTTGAAAAAACATCAACAGAAGAATTACAAGCTTCTATAAAAGATAGTGAATATAATGATGAAATTACCATTTATTGCAAATATTTTTTCCACTTGTTCCGCAATCACGTGATACACTGGTGCAGGAAATATTTTGGAGCTATGACTTATGGAATAGCAGAGAATGAAATTTGAAATGAAACTAAGTTACTTAATGGTGATTGACAATATAGAAGATTATTATGTACCAAGCACAGAAGCATTATTCAAAATGATGATGTATTTATTGAACAAACATCCAATCGAAAAATGTAAAATGGATGCCACTTGGAAGAATGGTAAAAGTTGATTGACGAAATTAAATTTAAATTAGCAAATTATTATTAAGGGCATTTCTTAGTGCAAATTAAATATGAGAGAAGCGTATTTTAAGGTGTTAATAGGCATGTATTATTATTAGTTAGATAGTTGATTGGGAACAATTAAGGTTCGTTATGGACCAATGGATTAAAACAAAATCGTAGAAATTTAGAGTAACACTTTTAATATACTTTTGAAGTAAATATATCGGCCTGATCTTAGGTCCTGACTAACCCTCCGTGGACGAACCTGGCGGAGGAATCTTTAGGTTTTCGGGGCATTGGATTCTCACTAATGTTTTCGTTACTCAAGCCGACATTCTCGCTTCCGCTTCGTCCAACCCTGCTCGCGCGGGTACTTTTTTCTAAGGCGGAACGCTCCCCTACCGATTCATTTTTACATCCCACAGCTCTAGATAGGGAAGGACGGGTCGATTCGAAATGGGAATGGAGTTTTAGGCTAGTGGAGCAAGCATGAATAATAAAAGGAAAAAGCCAAAATGAGTGGAAAGAAATTCAAAGCAAAGTCACCACCACCGAATAGAACCGACGAGTAATATCCTGTCCTTCCCTACCTACTGTCGGGGCGGGGTTGCGCGCGAGCCAAGTGACGGAGGTGCACAAGAGTACTTCGCGCCACAACCATCTCTTTTTTATAAGTTCTACGGACCGATGCCTGCTGCTTCATCTGGGAGAAAAGAATCATAGATATACCGGTCATTAGAAGGAAGAACCGCCATAAAAAGATTCCTCGTGTATCATCTGTAGCAAAACTATGAACGGAAGCTAGCAATCCGGACCGTATTGAAAAGGTTCCTGAGACACAGCATGGAAGAGTCACAATATTAAGAAACGAGATCCAAGAATGAAGAAGGGGTAGAATTACGGAATGAATACGAGCTGTGGCTAATACCCAAGGCATAAAAGAAGCATTTTCTACGGGATCCCGAAACCACCAGCCACCCCGACCTAATTCATGATGAGCCCACCAACTTCCTGGCATGATGCCCACGGTTAAAAACCACCGACATGTCAAGATCCAAATTCGAATCTGTTTCTGGTCCTGGTCAGATACCACTGTGTTCGCGTCGGCGCTCCAACAAAGAGGCGAAGTAGTGGTCTCTTTCTGTTCATTACGAACGACACGCTTCGCCTGCTCTCTCCCCATGTCCACTAGCGCTCCTGTCCAGAGCGAAGAGAAGGCGAAAAAGCGCCGCCAAAGCAGCATGAGCAGGCTTCTATTGCTACGCAACAAGAGAGCTGGATAGCATTTTGCGACCACATGTTTTAATTTAATGGTAAAAAGCTCGCTTGTTATACGGGATCCGACGCATCCAGCAGAGCGAAGCAGCGTTCCCTTCTTTTCGGCGGCATCCTTTCGCATTGGCGGCGAGTGGAGTGCCACAATCCTATTATTAATTTTTGATCTACATAATCCAAAGCCCATAGCACTGGCGATGTCTCCGACATAAATGCAAGGAGGATGTATAGCTGATATAGGATCTTGTGGAACAGGATTTGATTCTGCAAGCGGTTCGGTACGAACGAAGAAATTTTGAACAAAAGGATCGGAACTCGCTGATAGGAAAGGAGAGAAAAACAAAGCAATGCCAAGAGCTCCGTCAATCCGCTGTTCATCGATAGACGAAGCTCTCTCTTTATCATATCATGCCAGATGCAACAAAGGATGAGTCCTTCTTTTTCCTTCTCGCGAACCACGGGAGCGCCTAGCACCCAGAGGAGCAAAGCTAATTATCCTTTCAGGGTAAAGCGGCGCATAAAAAAGGGCTGGCCTGTCAAACGTCCGGTTCCTTCGCGAACGAAGTTCAGAATCAACAAGGGTTCGTAGAACAAAGGGAGTGTACAACTGGGGCGCAACCCCAGTTTTTTGTTCGTAACGAGGGAGAGATAGAATAGAGTTCTTCACGAAGTTCGAGACAAAGTAATACAAAACTTCTCTATGGCCTCCTCGTTTTGAGACATTATGGCTTTGGGGTCGACCCCGGTAACAAAGAAGGAATCCAGAAAAACGTGGGATCCGACACCATGATAAAATACTACCCTCATGATTAGACCATGTCCCTGAGATTTGATAAAAGAAAGGTGCATTAGCGGTTAATACGTTGTAATTAGATAAGTTATTAGGAATATGACGGAACGAAAGACCGAGGAAAGAAAGAAGAATGCACCAAAATGAAGGTGCTGCACCAAACGCAGGTGGTTGTTTCTTGTTGTAAGTGAATGCAACGAAAAGACCCGGAAATAACGATAAATGAAAGAATTCATATATTATGTACATTTCGTGCTCTGCTCATTTATAAATTTCTGCTTTGTTATTCCCATCATCCGGTAACCACAGGATGATTCACAAGAAAGGTGGCAGGATTCGAACCTATGGCCGGCCCGCCCCTGACCTGCTGGGTTGGGTGGCCGGGTTAGCACCCCTCTAAGCCCCTATACCCGAAACAGATGCGCTGCGCTACCCAGCGCTACACCTTGTCTCCCCTACTCCTCTTCTGGTTATGCCATTACCAATCGCGGGTAACCCCCGGGCCGGCCGCCCCTGACCTAATAAGATAAGAACTATTATCCTTATGACCAAACAGCGATAGTTTCACGATCCTGACCAGCAACTTGTTGGGAGTAGGGGCATCCAAGCTTGCCCAACCTAGACATTGTAACTGAAAGTCCTGCCTACTTGTAGGCTTAGGGTAGTCCTCGAAAACCTTCTTATTTTACTGGCTTGGGAAAGACCCGTAGGCTATGGATCCCACTAATGGAATGGGACTATAACCATACTTCCATGGTCTAGGTTCAAGGACAATAAAGATTGAGGCTTGGAGTATCTAAGGCTTCATGGACCCAATTTTTAGGGCTTTTAAGGACGGACTCGCTAGTGTCCCAAGGATTTCCCGGTGAAACTACTAACTGAATTGCCCTAAAATAAATATGTATTTTTCCACAGGACTGAATCCATAGAAACCTTGGCTTAGTGCCAGAACTGTAAGCGGCGGATGATTGGTATGCAGGATCGGTTGCAACGGTTTCACATTCATGTGAATCAAGAGATTGGCTTGAATTGAAAGGCTTTCCAACTAGCCGTTGTACCTGAGATTGCGATAAGTCCTTCTTCTTTGTCACCCCATTTCCCTTGGGACCAAGAACAAGCTCCAAAGAAGAAGAAGAGACTTAAAAAAACTATATGTGCTTGGTTGTTGACCAACAGAAAGGATGCATGGGAAAAAGACCTCAGATATCACATGCTCTCTTTGGAGAGCGGTATACCGAAAAAAGCCCTTTTTAAAGTAAAGAAAGAAGATAGGCTTAAGTCATCGTCAAATAGGGGCTTTTAAAGAGCGTGACTCTTATTTTTGAAAAAAGGTAAGACTATGTCTTTATATAATATACACAATTTTAAGTCTAGTTTGCCACAAGGCATGCAAGCAAGGAAGCTAGCCTATGTGGAAGAAAGAAGTCAAGCTGCTTACAATCCACAACCAAAAGAGAAAAGCCACTCAAGGGCAGAGGGATCTTGCTCGTCAACGTCCGTTGCCGATCCGGTCATCAACATCTGCTTTCTTTTCTTCAGGACAAGAATGGTTATATCCTGGCAGTGAGCTTCTCGTACCTGTCGTCCAATCCATTAGGGTCCAGCCATTACAAAGAGAGCCTTGGGGCATCTGCTTAAACCCTAGGCTTGGAGCCTTACAACTTTCTCAGCTCAAGTTATTTTTACCTTAGACTGAAGCGCATTCACTCATAGGACGACCATCATGTACTTGTACTCAAGTGACGATGAACACTGAACCTAACAGCCGAGGAGACGATCTCCGGTAACAAAGAAGAGTAGATTACCAATTAAGTCACCGCTCCGTGGGCTTTTATGATTACACTACTCACGAATCTATATATCCAATTTATTACTGAACTTGACTCGTCTCCGATTGCCATGCTGCGCTTTTCGCTCCTTATCCCGTACAGAACGAAGTGAATCTTATTTAAACATTCATTGCTATGGTCCGTCTTATTGCACTGAATGACGGATCACATGGGGGTGGATCCTACTAATGTAATGTTTTCTCCGTGTAGGAAGGTATTTTTAACATCTAGCTGGTATAGGGACCACTTCTTTGATGCAGTAATAGCCAGTAAAGTCCTAATCTTCACAAACTTAAGTTAAGGTTTCCTCCCAATCTATCCAATATTGATTCTTGAGCAAAGCCTTGAACAGGACGAGAGGAATAATGGCCTACCTCAGGCATGTTGTCTGGAACTGGATCATGGCTTGAGTCTGGAGAGGGAGAAGCGTTGGTTTACTGATCTCTTTCAGGTCCTGGCTGAGCTTCAACAAGATCTGGTGTTAGACGAAGTTTATTTCTGGTATACACTATGGTTGATAGTGTATGAGTCACAAGCTTCTCTGGCTGATATATATGAGTAATTATTCACGGTGATACTCTTCAGGGGCAAACAAAACTAGACTAATTAGTGTAGGAGAAGACGAAGCCGAAGATACAGAAAGAATAGTCTCCAGCGCACCAATGGGAGACGGGGCCCCCGCAAGGAAAAGTGTTGCTCTCATAACCGACTGTTTTTAATCTTTTTATGGATGTGATATATCTGATGTTCAATTCTGTCATAGGGGCTGCTGCACACTGATATAAAAAAAATTATTACGTCATCCGAGTTAAAGTCAGACGATGTAGCAGTTTGACCTGTCTATTAATGTCACGTCCCGCCTGTGCAGACTGACCTTTCTTTCATGACACTCTCGGCCATAAGCTGTATTATGTGTTTTCGCTAGGACCTACTTCTTTCGGGGCTACTCTCCTCCCGCTAGAAATGTAATAATACATCGAGAGTCTAGATAGGGAAGGACTAGCACCCAGAGGAGCAAAGCTAATTATCCTTTCAGGGTAAAGCGGCGCATAAAAAAGGGCTGGCCCGTCAAACGTCCGGTTCCTTCGCGAACGAAGTTCAGAATCAACAAGGGTTCGTAGAACGAAGGGAGTGTACAACTGGGGCGCAACCCCAGTTTTTTGTTCGTAACGAGGGAGAGATAGAATGGAGTTCTTCACGAAGTTCGAGACAAAGTAATACAAAACTTCTCTATGGCCTCCTCGTTTTGAGACATTATGGCTTTGGGGTCGACCCCGGTAACAAAGAAGGAATCCATAAAAACGTGGGATCCGACACCATGATAAAATACGACCCTCATGATTAGACCATGTCCCTGAGATTTGATAAAAGAAAGGTGCATTAGCGGTTAATACGTTGTAATTGGATAAGTTATTAGGAATATGACGGAACGAAAGACCGAGGAAAGAAAGAAGAATGCACCAAAATGCAGGTGCTGCACCAAACGCATGTGGTTGTTTCTTGTTGTAAGTGAATGCAACGAAAAGACCCGGAAATAACGATAAATCAAAGAATTCATATATTATGTACATTTCGTGCTCTGCTCATTTATAAATTTCTGCTTTGTTATTCCCATCATCCGGTAACCACAGGATAATCCACAAGAAAGGTGGCAGGATTCGAACCTATGGCCGGCCCGCCCCTGACCTGTTGGGTTGGGTGGCCGGGTTAGCACCCCTCTAAGCCCCTGTACCCGAAACAGATGCGCTGCGCTACCCAGCGCTACACCTTGTCTCCCCTACTCCTCTTCTGGTTATGCCATTACCAATCGCGGGTAACCCCCGGGCCGCCCGCCCCTGACCTAATAAGATAAGAACTATTATCCTTATGACCAAACAACGATAGTTTCACGATCCCGACCAGCAACTTGTTGGGAGTAGGGGCATCCAAGCTTGCCCAACCTAGACATTGTAACTGAAAGTCCTGCCTACTTGTAGGCTTAGGGTAGTCCTCGAAAACCTTCTTATTTTACTGGATTGGGAAAGACCCGTAGGCTATGGATCCCACTAATGGAATGGGACTATAACCATACTTCCATGGTCTAGGTTCAAGGACAATAAAGATTGAGGCTTGGAGTATCTAAAGCTTCATGTACCCAATTTTTAGGGCTTTTAAGGACGGACTCGCTAGTGTCCCAAGGATTTCCCGGTGAAACTACTAACTGAATTTCCCTAAAATAAATATGTATTTTTCCACAGGACTGAATCCATAGAAACCTTGGCTTAGTGCCAGAACTGTAAGCGGCGGATGATTGGTATGCATGATCGGTTGCAATGGTTTCACATTCATGTGAATCAAGAGATTGGCTTGAATTGAAAGGCTTTCCAACTAGCCGTTGTACCTGAGATTGCGATAAGTCCTTCTTCTTTGTCAGCCCATTTCCCTTGGGACCAAGAACAAGCTCCAAAGAAGAAGAAGAGACTTAAAAAAACTATATGTGCTTGGTTGTTGACCAACAGAAAGGATGCATGAGAAAAAGACCTCAGATATCACAGGCTCTCTTCGGAGAGCGGTATACCGAAAAAAGCCCTTTTTAAAGTAAAGAAAGAAGATAGGTGTTGTACCCCAAAATTTTCCCTCCCATATTCTTCAAGATTTAGCAAGATCAAGCTTCAAAATCCCTCAAGGGTTGCACAGTCCAATTGCCTCCTAACACAGTCAAAATTAGGGTTTTGGTTCTGACAAAGAAATTGAAGTTTTCAAGGGTCCAATCAAGTCCCACATGCCTACATACATTATCAAGCATTCATATGCCAAGTTTCAAGACTCACAGCATCAGATTGCACAGTCAAAAATCCTAATTGCTTCACAGTCAATTGCAGGGGCAAAATGGTCATTTGACAGTCAAAAGTCAAAATTTTTGGTCAACATCTTATTTTGAAGCCACAAACATCATTTGATCAATTCTTGATCCTGATTCTCAAAGCATGGCTCAAAAAGCCTCAAGATGCAAAAGTTTCTATTTTTGGACAGTTGAAAAAGTCAACTGCAAATTGACCAGGGCATAACTTCTTCATGGTTTATCAGAAAAATTCCATCCAAAGCTCATTTTGAAGAGAATGAAATTTCCTACAACTCATCTTCACACTCCAAGTCCAAGAAATGCTCTCACAAAGAGTTATCAATTTCAACATTATAGGTCACTTTCAAAAGTCAACAAAAAGGCACTTTAAGTCAAAGACCATAACTTGAGATTGGTAAATAAAAATGACATGGGACCAAAGGCATTGGCTAGAGGACTTCAAGACCTTTCCAAAATGTCCAAGAACATGATCATAGCTTCAAAATTGAGCAAGATATGCCTTATAGAAGTTGGGAAATTTTTGGGAATTTTGAAAAGTCAACTTTGCACAAAAGGCTTCAAAAATGCTAATGGGCCACAAATTCTTCCATGAATCATTACCCAAAGGCTATGCACGACCCATTGACTTTAAAGGGAGTTATTTTCTTATTTTTGATTAATTATTTGAATTTTTATTATCATTAATTCATTTAATTAAATTTAAATATAAGAAAAATACTCAATCATGTTTTTTAAATCTTTTTATGTAGCAAATATCCTCCTCACATGTAAGAGATCTCGTGCATCAATCAAAAGGGACAATATCTTCCATATTTGGCATGATTGGCATGGAAAAAGATTGAAAAAAGATGTGAACAAAATCAAATATTGAATCATTAAATCAATGGATCTTTGGGCTTGGTTTTGACCTAATTCCATTCACTTACATATGCATAACCTAAACCTATTCCATTGGACACGAGATATTGCATAGACGCTGCACACCAAATTGCAAATTTTCATCAAACTTTTGAAAACTGAAAACCTAGTTACAAGGCGTTTCAAATCTCCAAAAGGATTCCAAAACATTGCCAAGACCTCCAGGAACGTGTTGCAATCAAGAACACGCCTCCACCCTCAAAGAATTGGTAGAACAAAGTCACACTTTTCCCAAAATTTTTCATAATCGTGTTTTAACTTTCATGCATTGTTCATGTATTTTGATTATTGATTAACACTAACCATGATGTTCTGAAGCTAATGGTACTATTTAATTGTCCAAACAATGCCTGTACCAAGAGTTGCCATTAACGTTCTCTAGGGTTTCAGAAGCTCCAAAAGAGGGTTTTCTACATATGGAAAAATTGGACAACCAAACTGATACCATTGAAATCGTGACATCCAGACGAAGCTAACTCACACCTCGCGCCTTTTTTATATTCATCTATGCTCTAATCGCTATTTTTTCAGGTTGAGTTTAGTGGGGGTTTAAAACCCCCGCTATTTGCTTTTATTACAGGTACAAAAGGAAGAAGAAGGCAGCGTGTCTGAGTGTGGTTGGTCAGTTTGAATATTGGCGCGTTTTTTGATTACTTCAGCATAATATTGTTTTTCTATTATAATAATCATGTCCCACTAATATTACAAAGAAACACGCTAGCCTGGATGGTTGATGAGCTAGCTTGCAGGTATTGGGACCTGGGTTAGATTCCCAGGTCCCCCCAAACGCTTAATAATTTTTGTCTTAAGGTGTTCCAGCGTAGCACTTCATCCAAAGTCCATCATGCACGTTCACATCCCAGCCTGCCAAATGTCCCTGATGATCAATCCAATGGCCATGACGTGAATTCCACCATGTACCTCAGTCAATGCTCATGCACACGCGCTGGAAAGTCAAACAGGCTTCTTGATTCAGTGGGCCAAAAATGCTCCAAAAAACCTCCTATATGGGCCAGACACCCCCATGGTTTGCATCATGTTTATTTTTTTTATTTGATTTTCCTTTTGATTCTTTTAATTGCTTTTAATTGTTTATTTAATTTCACAAATTAATTTTCATAATAAAAAAATCAGAAACTAAAATATATTTAATTATTATTATTCCACCATTAATTTATTTTTGTAAATAAACTTTAAATAATAAATTTAGTTAATTTAGGTTTTCAATTTTAACACTTTTTTTCTTAAATAATTAAAATATGTAGAAATTAGAGTTTTTTAGCATTTTTATCCTTTTTCTTAATAAATATTTATTTCTTATTATCATTATTATTAATTATTAATTTATTTTGTAAATACCCATGTAATTAATTAATTAGTGTACATTAGGTTAAACTTTAATATTTTTTCATAAATAATTAAAAACAACTTAGAACTAGGGTTTCATTTAACTTCTAATTTTAATTAATTTTCTTTATTTTTATTAAATATAAAAAAAAAACATAAAAACATTTCTTTTCTTAATTAAATAATTAATTAGCTTTTAATTTCATTTAATTTCTTTAAAGGGTCCAACGCCCTCGAACGTTCTATCTTTAATTCTTTTCGCGCGTTATTTTATTTCCTTTGTGAATATTATGTAATTGCTCAAGCCATGTAATAATAATTAGGAATTTATTTACTTTCCGCGTTTTTATTAAAACGGGTCTTTGTTAATTTGGCGATGTATAGACCCGCGCCTTGTAATAGCGTAGGATTTTACTTTCCGCACTTTAATTTCCGCACTTTTAAACTGCTAACTTGCATGAAAGAATGAATGACTAATTAAAAACAATGCGTAGCTCATAAATGACATGTTCAAAGATAATTGCTAAACTGAAAACAACACACAAATTCACACACCACTCTTAGGGTACGCCTCACTGTTGCCTTACCCTCGAAACGTGGTCGTCGAGTATAGGACGTCTTAGTAAGTCCTTATGTCCATTGATCTAGTTGCCTCGAAACAAGTTGCCTCGAAACGGTTGCCTCGGAATAGTTGCCTCGAAACGGTTGCCTCGGAATAAAAAGATCAATGGCATAAGGGTAGCTTCTAAGGTGTCCTACTGTTGCTCTGGTGACCACACTGTCCCTGCAAACGAATTGACCCGAACACCTCCAACGGTGGTACTACCTACCTCTCAATGGTGGGATGGCACTACCTTAAGGACATTTACACAGCCTAATTCCTTAGGGTAGGTAGATGACTCATGGATACTTGCTCTTTTCAAAAAAACAAACAAAAACCTTTTCACACCGACACTTTCAAAAAGCTTTCAAAACAATTTTTCAAACACTCTTGAGGACTGATACAAGAGTCATTCAGAAATATTTCAATGAAACTTTTTCAAACCCACGCACATTTTGAAAAGCAAACACTTTGAAAACATAAGAGCAAGTATCTAAGAGCCCATGGGTAACCATGGATAGAAAGGGTGCTAACACCTTCCCTTTCTATAAATCTACCTCCCGAACCGAGAAATTATCTCATAAGGAATTTTGCTATGCTTTTGTCCTGTCCATGTTGGAGAAAATAAAAGACGGTGGCGACTCTTGCTTCCGCGACATTTCGCGAACCAGCGTTAAACAGTCAATTCTAAATCCACCGATCACAATAGGCTTAAGTCATCGTCGAACAGTTCACACTCCTTCAATGGAAGAAGAAGGCGATGCAGCGCGCTTAGCTACTGCCTATAAGCAACCATAAGCTTTGACTTAGATAATTTGAAGCTCGAAGTAATATATTTTCGGGAAGGGGATCGAGCAGCTTCTAGAAACTATACGAGAAAGCAAAGTGAAATCTCTACTATTACTAGGAAACCACTTTCTATAAGATTTATCTTCTCTTCTTTAATAAGGCTGATTTCCGCATCTATCCTAGCAGCAACAGAAAGGAAGTGAAGAAAGAAAAACTGACTGGACCATCGGGAAAGGGTGATCGATCATAAGGAAGGCCTACGTCTTCATCTCTTGCTTCCAAGTGAGAGTCAGGAGGAAGAAAAAGACCAAGCAAGGGTTAAGATTCGTTCTCACGGAGAATTAGGGAGAAGAAAGAAGACCGTAGGACTCTGAAGTCAGGGATATGAGGCTCGATCTACAGGCCTTACGTCAAAGCCCGGGAACAGATGGGAAGTGCACCAACGCTCGAATATGAATTGGAACCCCCTCCGAAATTCGGTTAATACTAAAATATATTCCCAATCCCATTCAAAAATCTACGCTACGGGTCAGGGACGCTAACCATATGAGGAGCCCTACTACTAGGACTTGTTCAAGCAACAAGTTGGTATGGCCCATTTCATACCTAATCCCATGGACATATCTGATCATTGAATGAGGGCCCTCCACAGGGATAGATACCCGAGTTAGGTATCAGTCCCACCTACTGATCATTAGTACAACGACCTGTCATATCATATACCCCAGACGGCTTGATCAGATGTTTCGGTACCAATGCAGTCAGTCTAATGCATTATGGACTGGATATGGCCCACCTATCTTTCGAGGTCACTAGTTTACACTTTCACCAACCTTTCCCATATCCGTTTTTTATGAGCAAGGGATAAAGGCCAGACAGTAATCAAGCTACTTACAATTGGATAGTACCCCTTCCATCGGA